GGGAAAGGGAGAAATCACCCCCCCCAGGAGGATGGCTACACTGCAGTCTCTTATCCTCTTGGGAATGGGGCACACATTTTCAAGACGCTAGGTCTGGGATTTGAACCATAGTCACCCATGTGGAAGTCCAGCACCTTAACCACTATGCCACCTGTTGGCCCCAGAGCCTATCTTCTTTTGTCTCAATTAGAGAATAGGGTTGGAGACAATGAGGAAATTTCCTTCTGAATCTGAATATATTAAAATACTTCCTAGAAAAAACTCCTTTGGGGGCCAGGTGGTGGTACAGTAATGATATACTGGACTCACAAACTCAGGGATTATCCTGGTCTTGTGTCCCTGGACCTCTTTGCGTATGCTAGGTGTATGCTTATGCTTAGGTCTGGATCTGGGTCAGCTGAGAATTGGGATGGATTGCTGAAGACCCTGTTGGATGTGCTTGTCTTTCTGTCTCAAGGTTTCAGCCTTTTTTTTTTTCCCCATAAGTGTACATTCACCATAGAGAAAGAGAGAGGGAAAGTGAGAAATCACCCCCTGAGAGGGATGGCCATGCTGCAATCTCATCTCTCAGGAATTTAAAGTCACATGCACACGTGTCCAGTGTGATTTTCAAGCTGCCAGTTTGGGGGTCAAACTGGTCAACCATGTGGGAGTCCAGTGCCTTAACCTACCACCTGCTGGCCCCTTCTTTGTACACTTTTATTCTAGCCTATCAGATTGTATTACAATTTACTGGTTTTTATGTCTGTTTCCCGTACATTATGATAACTTGTGAATAGATATTAAATCTAGATATTCATCTTGATTCTCCTAGAACTTAGTGCAGTGTTTAGTGTGTGGTGCCACTCAAACTTATGGTAGAATAAATAGGATGAATAAACTAGACCAATAAAAAGAAATAACTAGACCAATAAAAAGAAATTAAACTCATCATACCCAGAATCAGTTTCTGGGGATCCTAGTGGATCTATCTCAGGTGCCTCACACTTATTGTGGGTGTGGAAAGGGTTTAATATGTAATTGCCTAGCATACTTTTTTATTTCTGGAAGTGTGAGCCAAGTCAGTGTTGTTTGTTTTATGCAAGTAGAAAGAGTCATAAGAAACTGAAATTTGATCATTTTCTTTAACAACTATACATATTTCTATACAGACCTTTGGGTCTGCCTCTGATATTTTCAAGTCGGGAGCAGCCAATTACTACTTTCTTCAGAGAGAACTCTTATTTCAGTGACTGGAAGAAATACCGCTTGTATATGGTGCCCAATTTTGATCTCAACTTGGAAAGAGGTATGCCTCCCTCTCTTTGCACAGGAATGAAGAAACTTGAAGAATAACAGAGAAATGGGGGCCAGCAGGTGGCATGGTGGTTAAGGGCACTAGACTCCCACATGGCTCATGGACCATGGTTTGTGTCCCAGACCTGGTGGTTTGCTTTCTCACTTTCCTTCTTTCTCTCTCTCTCTCTTACTCTGTCCCTCTTGGTCAAGTTAAAATAAATAAATAAAGTTAGATAGAATAATTCTTAAAAAAAAAAAAAAAGAATATTAGAGAAATGCAAAGAAATATAAATAGTAGTTTTATATAAAAATAGAATCCAGTGATCTAATGGCTTAGGTTGGGGGCGTGGGTGTGGGCATCTGACGCAGTTTGAGAGTCCACTTAGAATGAGACAGGCAAGTGTCACATAGGCAAGCTGCAGCCATCACATTGCACATTGTCATTGTACATTGATGCTGGTTCTCTTGCTTCCTTTGCTGCCTCCTTCATGCTTAGTCATTTTTCTAGGAACTTGTTTGGGTGCATTCTGTTGTACCTTAATCTGTCAACTCCAGGGCTTTAGAAAGGTGAGAAAAAGAACAATTATACCTTTGAACTATTCTGGAAGAGAGATACTCCCTATCCACATAAAACTACTCAGGGAGCCAGCAAGTGGTGTAATGGTTGAGATGCTAGACTCCCACATGGACCTGGTGACTTGAAAATCATGCCAAGTGGACTGGCAGGTGGCATAACAGTTGTGTCACTGGACTCCTACATGGTCAACTGCAGTTCGAGTCTCAAACCCAGTGGCTTGAAACTCACGCTGGACGTGTGTGCATGCATGCCCAGAGTCCCAAGGGTAGGATGAATAAGAAGGAAGCACGGTGTGGCCATCCCCCGCTGGGGGGTGATTTCTTGCTTTCTGTGTCTTTGTCTCTCTCTGTCTCTTTGGCGAGTGCACACGCCCTATGGCAAAAACCTCTTAAAAAAAAAAAGAAAAGAAAAGACAAATGAAAATCTGAGCATGCATGCCCCAAAATCCCAAGAGGAAAATGGAGAAGAAGGGTTTGTGGCATGGCCATCCCTGCAGGAGATGATTTCTCACTTTCCCTCTCACTGCCCCTCTGGTGAGTGCATGTGTCTGTCCTATGGCAAAAAAACTAACAACAAAACGAAACAAAAACTATTTGGAAAAAAATTAAAATACAACATAAGTGTAAGACATAATAGTGTTAAACCTAGAAACCTATCTATAATGTTCAAGTGGAGCCTAACCACATTAACTTTGGGTGACTCATGCTAAAAGTTGGATGGTTAGGGACCAGCAGATGGCGTAATGGTTATGTTGCTGGACTCCCACATAGTTGACCACAGTTCAAGTCCTGGACCTGGTGGCTTAAAACCCACACTGGGCACGTGTGCATGTGTGACCAAGATCCTGAGAGGAGAATGGAGGAGAAGGGATTGCGGCGTGGCCATCCCCCCTGGGGAGTGATTTCTCACTTTCTGTCTCTGTCTCTCTCTCTCTGCCTCTCTGGTGAGTACACACTCTCTATAGCAAAAATCTCTCTTAAAAAAGATTTGGATGGTTAGTGACAGAACCAATAAATAAAGCTGGGAAATAGGAATATGCAAACATGGGCCAATGTCTAGGAGGTTGTTTTTTTTCTTTTTTTCTTTTTAAATTTTGCTGTAACATGCATGCATTCACTGGAGGAGGAGGCAGGGAGAGGAAGGAAAAGTGAGAAATAATCCCCCAGAGATGATGGCCATGCAGCAATCCTTTCTCCTTTATTTTCCTTTTGAGATTTTGTGCATGCATGCACACTTGCCTCGTGTGTTTTTCAAGCTACTGGATCTGGGTCAAACTGTGAAGTTGCCCGTGTGGGATCCAGCTGCTTTAACCACCACTGTAGTGGCTGGCCCAAGATAAGTTTCTCTCTCTTTCTCTCTCTCTCTCTCTCTATTTTTTTTTGTGTGTGTGTGAGTGGGTAGTTATTCCATTGGTAAGTATGAGAGAAGGGTGTCCTAGGATAGGGTCTCTAAAGGTAAGTGGTTTTGTGAGGAAAGAATGTTTAATAGTTGGGATGTCATGCCATTAGGATTTTGAATAGAGGGAGGACCTAGTTGAATTTCTAGTGCTCTCTACGTCTCTTTTTCTGTGATTTCCTTAATTTTTTGTCAATTCATGATGCCTGAACTTGCTCAGTTAATGCTGGAAATTAATAATATAGAAAATGTCCACTCATCTCTTTCCTTTTTTTTTTCCCTGATTACTCTGAAAGACAGAATCAGGATCCATGTTGAAGTGCCTCTCTATGTGGATCTGGAATGTAGGACTATCTTGATTGTATTCTAAAGGATAAAGGTGCTAGAAAGTGACCATAGGGCATTGGATTACTTGAAAACACAAATACATAGTTTTGTGGTTAAGATCACAGATTCTGGAGTCAGTCCAGTAAGGTCTAAAACAGTTCCACCACATATTAGCTCACATTGGGCAATATATTTAACTTATCTGTGACTCTTTTCTGATCTGTGAAAGGGCGGAAGAATGTCCTACCCAGAGTGATGTGAAAGACTCCTGGTTTTTGCAAAGAATGTTATATGGTGTCTGTCATGCAGTAAACATTTAACACAGGTTAGCTATTATCATTACTCGAGACTGAGTCTGACTTCCACCTGTTACTACCCATACCTGCCTTAGAAAGTTGTATGCAGAGTACATAAGTTTATTCTGTAGTGCCTCCTAGTCAAGGCAAAGGAATGCTGTTTGGTTTGTGTTTTACACACCCAGTCATTTTGATGTTCTTTCTGTGAGCCGCTATTAATTACTTCTATCATGTGACTTGAGAAACAGGTTCAGGAGGGGAATTAAGTGTTCACATATAGATCTCTGATGCTTACATCCTTCCTTGTTCAGGGTGTATTATCTTTAGTCATTTAACATTTTGAGGGTTTTACTTATCTTAGAAATTTGTTTAATATCTTGTCCTCTAGACTTGGTGCTTCCGGATGTGAGTTATCAGGTACAACCCAGTGAGGAAGATCAGTCTCAGAATATGGACTCTCAGGAACAAACTCTGCTACTTTTTCTCTTTGTGGATTTCCACAGTGGATTTCTGTTTCAGCAAGTGGAAATCTGGGGTAGGTACAGGAGAATGAGGCCACCTGCTTGTGTGTGCCAAATGCTTAAGAGGATAAAGAAAGGAGAACTTTGTAATACATATATCTGAGTTAGATATATGTTTATAGAATTAAGAATGTCATTAAAAAGCCTTTCTTGATAAATAAAACAAAATATATGCTCTGTGGAAAAGATCTGTATGTTGCTGCTTCACTTAAATGATAATGGTCTTAGGCTCTGTAACCTAGTGTTAAGGGAGCCAGATCCCATATGGCCAACCTTGGTTTGAGTCCCATTGAAAAAACATGTTGGGATAGGGTCTGACTCTGTGGCACAGTGGTAATATGCTGCTCAGGACAAGTTGGATCTTACATGGTGACTGTGGTTCAAATCTCTGACCTAGTCAGCTTGAAACACTCCAGGAATATGCATAAGGGGCCAGAATTTGACAGGCTGTAGGAGTGGATGTAGAGAATCATGATGTGACCAGACCCTGTGGAGAGTGTTCCTCTGTCTCTCATGAGTGCATGCACTATCATGAATAAAGAAAGAAAATACTGGAGTTGGCAGGTGGCATGGTGGTTAAGGGTGCTGGACTCCCACATTGCCAACTATGGTTTGAGTCCCAGACCTGGCAGCTTGCTTTCTCACTTTCTGTCTCTCTCTCTTTCTCTCTCTCTCACTCTGTCCCTCTCTGGTCAAATTAAAAGAAAGAGAAAGAGAATAAAATAATTCTTTTTTAAAAAAGAAAGCAAATACTAAAAATAAAAACAAAAAATTACAAAACATGCTGGGCATTGTATTTGTGTTCCCAAATCCTGACAGGATAGAGGAAAGAGAAGAAAGGATGGTGTCACGACCATGTCCTATTTGGGGGTGTCACTTTCTTTGACAGTGGAAGGGAAAATGACATTCTCAGATTTGGTTGGCCAGAAATCAGCAGACACTTAATATAATTTTCTGTATGGAGTGTATTACCTAAGATCAGTACTCAATATTATCTGGGGAGCTGCTAAAAAAATGTCCAAACCAGGTCAACCAGGTGGCATGGTGGTTAAGGCATCTGGATTCCACATGACCAACTATGGTTTGAGTCTCAGACCCAGTGGCTTGAAAAACATGCTGATGCATGTGTGTACATGCCCAAAATCCCAAGAAGAGAATAGAAAACGAGGAATTATGGTGTGGTCATCCCCCAAGGGTGCTTTCTCATTTTCTTTCTGTCCCTTTCTGTCTCTCTCCAGTGAGTGCACATGCCCTATAGTAAACTTTAAAAAAAGAGAGAGAGAGAAAAGGAAAGAAAAAAAAATTCCAAACCTCACTTCCAGGCATTCTGATTTTCTTAGGCTGAGGTAGGTCTCAGATGATTGTGATGTGTCCCAGACCTGAGCACTTTCTGTCACCATAGTACCTTTTCCAGGTAGAATCCAGAAATGTCTGCCTGTCCTAGTTCAGGCCTGCAAAGGGGTCATTGCACAAGCAATGATCTATTATCAGAAAGATTCACTCTGTGTTAGAGGGAAAGCAGTTGTTTCAGTTTGTGGTCCATGAAACACATGCATCAGAGTCATCTGGACTATTTGAAAATATGCAGGTTCCTGGGCCAATAATTTATTATTTTGCCATAATGTGAGAATCGGTTATGACTCAATAATCTGTATTGTAAACAAGATTTTCAGGTGATTCTAAACATAGCAAAATTTTCAGGATCAGCAGATGGCATAATGGTTACATCACTGGGTTCCCATATGGTTGACAGCAGTTAGAGTCCCATACCCGGCAACTGAAAACTCACACTGGGCACGTATGTGTACATGCCCAGGGTCCCAAGAGGAGAATGGAAGAGAAGGGATTGTGGCGTGACCATCCCCCTGGGGAGTGATTTCTCACTTTCTGTCTCTCTGTCTCTCTCTGTCCTTCTGGTGAGCTCACATGTCGTATAGCAAAAATCTAAAAATATATATATATGTATATATTACATATATATGTGTGTATGTATATACAGCAAAATTTTGAAAAATACCGAATGTGAGCTGGAGTTGACTTATTCATTTTAATCCAGGAAACACTGAGACATAAATTTAAGTGTTTCTCAATGTCCTCCTACACTGAGGGACGTCATGAGGAGAAGTAGAAGTTATAAAAGTTTGAGAGGGGTTCATAAGCCTCCATTTAGTTTTTCCTAATACATTTATACATTCTGCTTTCTCTGTAGGCCAATGTATTTTCATGAAATTTTATTCTCCAGGCATTCCGTTGTTGTTCAGTGTGGGTCCCAGTGAGTCATATGAGAAATGAGATAAATGAGGTGGCTTGCAATCCTAGATCAGAAAAGCTCATTGACGGATGCCAGCTATTTGTTGAACAAACCATTGTCAACTGTGGGATTCTTCCTGCTGCTGCCTTCTCCCCAGCTCCTCCTACCTTTTTTCAATATGTACTTACTCATACAGGCTTTCCTGGGCTATGGCTTTAACTCTTTATTTGAGTTGGTATTCTTTGCTACCCTGCTGTTCCATTAAGGACAGGAAAATGGGAAACAGAAGAAACTCAAACTAATGAGACTTCAGTAAGGTGAGGATTACTAGGGCTGTCATCTGACCTGTGCTCACATAGACAGAGGCTAATAAGAGAAGCAGCTTAGTATTGTGAAAAGGATGTCAGGGTAGACTCAAGAGACCTGGGTTTAATTTTAGCACTGCTTCTAGCTTCCTTAGTTATTTATGGGAGACAAGTCACATAAATTATCTGAACTCCCTTTTCATATCTTGAAGATGAGATTGACTCAGCGGTGGAGGAACACATTGGTAAGACACTGCTACTTGGAATCTGAAACTACATGAGAGGTCCAGGCTTGGTTTGGCTCAATCTAACCAGTTTGGGTGCAGAGGCACGTGCCTGTAGTCCTAGCTAGCTGGGAAGCTGGGACAGGAGATTTGGGATATAGTAAGACCTTATGAAAAATCTCTTTTTTTTCTCTTCTGTCTCTCATGTAAAAATTTTAATTAATAAAAAAAATTTAAAAAGAACATGAGATTGTTAGATTAGGTAATACCAAAGGCCTTTCCAAGTCTAAAATCTGTCTTAAGACTTAAGATTTGCTATCTTCTGGTACTTTTTTTTAAGGTCTGCCAGAAGGTAATCCTAGGATAATGGAAGCCTGATACCATGTTCTAAATGCTAATAAACATACTTTAAGAGCTCCAATTCTTCAGACACCAGTGTTACCTATCATTCCTGTAGTACTATGATAATTTATGTACTTCCAGTTAAATGGATTCTGAGGACTTGTCATAGCTCAGTAATTGTACTCAGTATTGAATTAAAAAGAGATTCATGGGGCCAACAGGTGGTGGTTAAGGTGATAAACTCTCACATGGCTGACCAAGGTTCAAGTCCTGGACCGGGTAACTTGCTTTTTCATTTTCCTCTCTGTCTCTGTCTCTGGTCAAATTAAAATAATAAATAAGTAAATATAAATAAAAAAATATTTTAAAACCATTCATTAGTAAACGTAGTAAGTGTCTTTTAAAATCATATACATCTGGTAGTTAGGACTAACCCTGAAGAAAATGTACAGTGTGAGGAGGTAGCCATAGATAGAGACGCTATGATTTTACTCTCTCTTTTGCCTTCTTTCTCATATCCTTGAAATCTTTATCCAGATCTCCTTCTTTTGGAAACAGATTGTGCAGAGTTACAGTCTGTTTCCATGTGTCTTAAAAAAATCCGTAATTGGCCTTCTGCCTACCTTGTCATGGTAACTTTCTATGATTAACTTGTTATTTTGCCACGACGTCAAAAGCATCTGGTGGTATCAGCAGTTTTAGGAATGAACTTCAGCTTTTTAATTAAATTTCTGCTTTCAAAGGGGGTCTGATTTCTTGAAGCAATTCTTAGGACCAAACTGTAGAAAATAGTAATCCAGATGATATACCATCCTAAGAGTAATAATATCTTCCCTTTGAATATTTCAAAACACTTTATATACATTATTGCAGTTTATCTACACAACATACTTAGGAGAGCAAGTGATATAAGCCATTTTCTGCACTGTAGTGGGAAAAGTGAAGTGACTTAGTCATCATTAGCTGGTGGTAGAAATGACCCTACAATCTGTGTTCTCCTACCTCTAACTCCAGACTGCTCTTGAGCTAACCACACACTACCCTCTCTACAGGGAAAACACTATGTGCCTTAAAGTAGAAATGTTCCTCTTGCTTTCATTTTTAAAGTTTATATATATATATGTGTGTGTGTGTGTGTGTGTGTGTGTGTGTGTGTACATATATATTTATATATATATTTACTTTTTTATTGCCCAAGAGCATGTGTGCTTGCCAGAGATAAAGTATTCTCCAATTGGGTGTGATCACATTGCAATCCTTTTTCCTCCATTTCTCCATCCTGTCAGGATTTGGGGCATGCATGCACACACTACCATCAAGTTTGTTAAGCTGCTGGGGCCGGGATTTGAACCATGGTGGACTACGTGGTATCTGACTAAAAAGCACAACACTTAACCACCATGCTAAGGGGCTGGGTGCCCTCTGGTTTACATTTTTAATGCAGTCTTGAAAAAAGCCAGGCAGCCTTAGGTTACTTCACCATAGTATCTTTGAACAGACTATCCAGAGGAGAGGAGAAAAACACTGAGAACAGAAAGATTAGTAACGAAGAATTTACCCAGTTTCCCTGTAAAGTGAATTCATTTTCTTGTGGTTGCTTCCTCAGGATTAGTAGATGATAGCCTATTGTTTGATTACACATTTTTGCCCTTTGTTCTCTAGTGTTAGCTTTTCTGAATAACGCTGAGCAGTGGTGCCTATGATTACTTTATCAGATAGTCTCTCATTTTAAAAGACTTTATACCTGGGGTCAACAGGTGGTGTGGTGTTTATGGGCACTGGACTCCCACATGGCTGACCGTGGTTCGAGTCCTGAACCTGGCAGCTTGCTTTTTCACTTTCCTTCTTTCTCTTTCACACTCTGCCCCTCTCTGATCAGATTAAAATAAATAAATAAAGTTAAATAAAATAATAATTGTTTAAAAAGACTTTATACAAACAGTTCTTAGAGACATCTTGGTGAGTTTTCACCTTTTCTTTACCATGGCACACTTGAAATCATTGACACATTGTCAGTAACGCTGGCTCAATGCAATGGTGATGTTCTGATAGGAATGGCGCAGGTAGACACACTCCAGGAGACTTCCTTCTCCCTCTTTCTCTTCTCTTTTATGAGTCATCAGTATCACTGTCTATCATATGTAGCATATATTTATGTTATGAAATAAGCAGGATCCTTCATTTATTTCTTCAAAAATAATTGTATTCTTCATTAATTTTTCTAAACTTTAAAAAATTAAGTGGGAACTGTGTGGGTTTGTAAGTTGCTAAGGGTTTTGGTCTAAAAAAAGTAATTATTTGTGCATAGGAAGAAGTTGTCTCTTCTAAGAGACATCTTTTCCAGTGTCAAGCCCTGAATCAGTGATATGAACAGTAATCTTGGAGAAATCATCTCTGCTCATGGTTACTAACATTTCTGTCCCCTTAGGAGTCCACACTTTGCTCACAACTCATCTTAGTGCCATCCTCATGAAAAGCCACAGTGTGGTGCGAGATTCCATCCAGTTCACTGTGGACCAAGTCTTAGAGCAGCATCACGAGGCTACCAAGGTAATAAGAATTCACAGCTTCCTATCTCCTACTCACTTAGAAAAAGATATCAAGAGTATATGGCAGGGGGACCAGCAGTTAGTGTAATGGCTATGTCACTTGATTCCTATGTAGTCAACCGTGGTTCAAGTCCCGGACCTGGCGGCTTAAACTCACACCGGGCGCATGTGCGTGCATGCCCAAGATCCCGAGAGGAAAATGGAGAAGAAGGGATTGCAGCATGGCCATCCCCCCAGGGGATGATTTCTCGCTTTCTGTCTCTCTGTCTCTGTCTTTCTGGCGAGCACACGTACCCTATAGCAAAAATGTCTCAAAAAAAAAAGAGTATATGGCAGGCAGGGCCTATGAGCCATTTCTTCCTTAAATGTCCCTTCTCTCTTCTTCTGTCTCCTGAGGTCATCATGTAACACTGCATCTAGCCTAGGAACTCCAGCTTTAGTTAGATGTGTCACTATAACCAGCTTGTGTAGTCTTACCTCCCAATGGTAAGACTAGGTGTGTTTGGGTAAGTAGGGACAGAGATAATAGAGAAAAATGACTGATAATGTAACTCTTATCTACACATTTTCCCTTTTCACACATACTTCTGGAGCAGCTGCTTCACTAAATCTTACATTTTTCACCCATTTCCTACTTGTAATACCGCTTCTTGCTGGAATTTCTGAATCTCTCCATCCTATATGCTTTTGAGAAGATATTTCTTACTTCATATGGTCCCCTATTCAGGTAAAAACACACTAAGAGAGTAAAACTTAAAGTTTTTTCACTTTTTTTAATTGCCAGCAAGTACATGCACTCATCAGAGAGATAGAATGAGATAGGGAGAAAGCAATTCAATGGGGTGTGGTCCCGCTGCAATCCCTTCTCCATTTCTTCATCTTGGTGGGACTTGAGGCATGCGTGCACATGTATTTATTATGTTTTTCAAGCTGCTAGGGCTGGGATTTGAACTGCTATTGACTCCCTTAACCACTAGGCTATGGGGCAAGCCCTAAATCTTTTTTTTTAAAGTATATTTGTTTCATTGTTCAGTTCCTTGTGCTTGTCTTTTCTGAATGTGTCTAAGTCATCTCTGTGAAAGAATACTTAAAATTTTATTTTAATCTCTAGGTGTCATGAATGATCTCAGTATTGTTATAAAGGAGGAATTGCTAAAATTTTGTCCTGACTGAAATCTAGTGATTCCCTTTAGGATTCTCTAAACCAGGAGCTTGTGATGAATACAGTGTCCTCTTACTTGTTTTGTCTAGGCTCATCAGAAACTTCAGGCCTCACTCTCAGTGGCCGTGAATTCCATCATGAACATCGTGACTGGAAGCACCAGCAGCAGCTTCCGAAAGATGTGTCTCAAGACCCTTGAAGTTAGTGAGAGATGGTGGATGCTTTGTAGTGTCAGAGTTTTAATGATATTCTACTACTTATCTTTGTATATATACAATGCTTTCAGAAACATTACTTCATTTGCTCTTACTATGATCATGTATAGTAGTAGGCTTACGTATTTTAAGAAATGTTTGTTGAATGAATAGTAGTGTATATACCATTTTGTAAATGAGGCAACAAATTACTGGGTCATTGGAAAAACATGACATACTTTTTTATGCAAAAAGACTTTCTGACCACCCAATATTTAAGATTTATACTTCCCTTAGATCACATAGCTAGTTAAGATAGAGCTAGGATTAGATTCATGATTACCAATTCCTTGTTGAAGAATGCTCTGCTACCTCATGATGACAGAAGACACTGGAAATAACTGAGAAATCCTAAGTACTACATATGTGACAGAATGGAATGTTTGGTAATCACAGGTTTGGGATCAAATCCCAACTTATTTACTTACTAGCTACTAGGCCTAAACTTCTCTGGGCGTCATCTACAAACTGGAAAGAATAATAGTACCTCACATTATTATGAGAGCGAGGGCTAAATGCATGTTGTGGTCTAAATGTTTGTATCTCCTCAAAATTCATACGTTGAAGTCCTAATCCCTAAGGTGATGGTATTAAGAAGTATGAGGGAAACCTGAACAAGGCCCCTCAGTCCCAGATAAAAACCTCTCACCCCAGTTCCTCTTCCACAACCCATTTTCCAGGACTTCTCTTGGGAGCTCTGTTTTTCCTTCCCTCTCCTTCAATAAACTCCCCTCTTTGCTATACCTAAAAAAAAAAAAAAAAAAAAAGGAAGGTATGAGGTCTTTGGGAGGTGATTAGTCACCAGGCTCCATACTCATGCATGAGATTAGTGCCTTTAATAAAAGAAGCCCCAGAGAGACCCTTGCCCTTCTACCATGTGAGAATACAATGAGAAGTGGATGGTCTGCAGCCCAGAAAAAGACTGCCTAGTATCTAACCATACTGACACCCTGATCTCAGGCTTCCAGACTCCACAACAGTGGGAAATCAATTTCTATTGTTTATAAGCTACCCAGTCTACAATAATTTGTTTCTATTGTTTATAAGCCATTCAGTCTACAGGAAAATAGACTAAGATAATGTAAAAATGAATAACAATAGGTTCTCAGTAAATGTTAGTTTTTTTCCTCCTTTTTAGGGATGTGTGCTGACCTATTAGTATTGTCAGTGTGTAACACATTCATTCCATGTTTGTTGTTTCATTTTGTTTTCCTTTTTTTTGAGAGAGAGATTTTCGCTATAGGGCGTGTGCGCTTGCCAGACAGACAGAGAGAGAGAGAACAGAAAGCGAGAAATCCCCCCCCGGATGGATGGCCACGCTGCAATCCCTTCTCCTCCATTCTCCTCTCGGGATCTTGGGCACGCACGCACACGTGCCCAGCGTGAGTTTCAAGCTACTGGGTCCGGGACGCGAACTGCGGTCGAGTACGTGGGAGTCCAGCAACATAGCCATTATGGTAACTGCTGGTCCCTGTTTTCCTTTTTTTCTTGAAAAGATAGTTTAACACAAAAATTTAAATAATAACTAATTAATCACTGTGATTTTTAATTTTTGCATATTATCTCATATATATTATATAGTTATAACCAAAGCATTCTATTTTCATATATTATATAATTCAATATTCTCCATGTTTCAGCAGTCTTAGAATTTTGTTTTGGTTAACCAGTATTCCACTGTGTAGTTTTTGTTTTTGTTTTTGTTTGCTATAGAGCATATGCACTCTCTAGGGATAGGGAAGAGAGAGAAAACATGCCCAGGGAGGATGGCCATGCTGCAGCCCTTTTCTTTCATTCTCCTCTCAGGATTTTAGGCATACATGTACCCATGCCCAGAATGTTTTTCAAGTAACCGGGTCCAGGACTTGAGCCATATAGTCAACCATGTGGAATCCAGCTGTCTTAACCATGCTGCCATGGACCGGCCCTCTACTGTGTTGTTTTAATCTAAAGTAATAAACCATTCTTCTGGAGGATATACAATGTTTATCTTTCATACTCTGGCTTTTTTTACTTAGCACTGAACCATCTATATGCATCCACTTCTTATCAAATAATATGGTCTTATTCTTTATGTCTGAGAAATATTCCATGGTGTATATATGCCACATTTTTTCACTCTAGTCATCAGTTCTTGGACACTTAGGTTGATTCTATGTCTTAGAAATTGTGAATCATGCTGCAGTGAACATGGGTGTGCAAATGTCTTTCTAACATTTTTTCTGTCTTTGGGGTAAATACTGAGGAATTGGATTACTGTGTCATGTGGTGGTTCCATTTGTAGGTTTTTTAGGAACTCCATATTGTTTTCCAGAGTGGCTGTACTAATTTACATTCCCACCAACAGTATAGTAGGGAACCCTTTTGCTGCAGTCTCATCGTCGCTAGTCATTCTTTGTTTATTTGTTTGTTTGTTTGTTTGTTTTTTTGATCATAGCCATTCTAACAGGGTAGTAAATTGTATCTTATTGTGGTTTTGTTTATATTTCCCTTCAGATAAGATACATTGAGCATTTTTCATACGCTTATTGGCCATTTCTATGTCTTCCTTAGAGAGTTGTCTTTTCAGCTCATTTATTCATTTAAAAAATTTTTTGCCTGTGACTTGCTTGAATTTTGTATATATCCTGATTATCAATTCCTTATCAGAGGCATAGTTTGCACATATGTTCTCCCATTCTGTGGATTGTCTCTTTACCCTGCTTAATTTTTCCTTTGCTGTGCAGAAGTTTTTTTAGTGTGATATAATCTCACTTGTCTATTTTTGGAATTACTGCCTATGTATTAAGAATCTTATTTAAGAAAAATGTTTTCCTATTCCAGTGTCTTCAAGTGTTTCTCCTGTGTTTTCCACCAGTAGTTTCATAGTTTAGGCTTTGATCCATTTTGAGTTGATTTTTGTTAATGGTGAAAGGTAGGGTCCTATTTCTTTTTCTTTTTCTTTTTTCTTTCTTTCTTTTTCTTTTTTTATTTTTTATTTATTTATTTATTTATTTTGCAGGTGAATATCTAGTTCTTTCAGCACCATTTGCTGAAGAAAATCTGTTTTCTTCACTGGCTTGTTTTCTGTCTTTAGTTAAAAAATCAGCTGGCAGTACCAGCAGATAGTGTAATAGCCACATTGCTGGACTCCCATGTAGTCAACTGCAGTTCGAGTCTTGGACCCAGTGGCTTAAACTCATGCCAGGCACGTGTGCATGCATGCCCAAGATCCCAAGAGGAGAATGGAGGAGAAGGGATTGCACATGGCCATCCTTCCTGGGGTTGGGGTGGGGGGTGGTTTCTTGCTTTCTGTCTCTCTGTCTCTCTCTGTCTTTCTGGTAAGCACATGTGCCCTATAGCAAAAACCTCTCAAAAAAAAAATCCATTGACTATATGTTTGGAGTTTATTTTTGGATTCTCTATTCTGTTCCATTGGTCTATGTGTGTTGTGCCAATACTGTGCTGTTTTGGTTATCATAGCTTTGTGATATATTTTAAGATCAGGTATGGTTCCTTTAACTCTAACTTCCTGCAATTCTATATTAAAAAGTAGAAGGCTGTTGCCCATTCCCTGTAGGTGCAAACTTCTTTTGTTCTCTTCTCTAAAAGGCTTACCTAAGGAAAAGCTCTAGTATCAGCCTCATTTGTTTAGTAGAACCTCTATTCTCTTGGAACTTGTTTTACAAAAGAGCAGTTTAAATGATGCTTTCATGACAGAAGAATCTCAGGATATTTATCTCCTGTAGAAATAGGAGAACAAAGACCTTGCCTGAAGGATCTTGCTTAGGTGACAGAAATGGAAAGACATACAGGAACCCACAATTGTCTTGTGCCAAATAGCCCAGGCTTTCTTTCTACTTCTCTTGTCTCTGTAGAGACTAAGGAAAGTCCTAACAAAAAATAAAGTATTTCAACTTCTCATCTCTCACCATGCGAACTTCTTGTGAATACTTACCCCTTGATCCAGTCCTAAAACTGAACACATTCTATTTCTGAACCATTTTAGGCGGCTGACACACAGGAGTTTGGGACAAAACTGCATAAAGTATTTCATGAAATCACCCAGCACCGATTTTTTCACCACTGCTCATGTGAGGTAAAGGAGGTAAGTGTAAAGTAATAGTCAGTACTTGGTAGAAATCTTCTATTTTAACATATGGGAATTCTGAATTCAGGCTGGGTAGATACAAGTGCTTTAGATTGCATTATCAGAGCTTAACCATTCCACAAGGAAAACTGCAGTTTATAGAAACTTTATAGAACATAGTATTGCATTAAGTTTAAGAGCATGATTAGACATTGCTTGAATTCCATTTCTGCCACTAACTAGTTGTTAGCATTATTGTGGAAGTTATTTAACCGACGTAAGCTTCAATGTTTTTATCAGTAGAATAGGAATGACGTATGTCTGAAATGATTATTGTGAGGTTTGAGTAAGATAATGTATGTAAGGGACTAGCAGATGGCATAAGGATTACATTGCTGGACTCCCACATAGTTGACCAAGGTCCGAGTCCCAGACCCAGCGGCTTCAAACTCATGCTGGGTGCATGTGCGTATATATATATATATATACACACACTCTGTTTGCCTTTTTGGATACTGGAGATCTAGATTTGTATTAGTTGGGGGTCTCTACATGGAGGTTTTATAACTTCATCTATTTTTGTGATAGTCTCCTGAAGTAAGTCAAGGAAAATTACACAGTAACTAGGAAATTCTGTATATTTTTTATTTCTGGTGTAGCTGATAGAAATGGTGCAACTGAAACCCACTTTTCTGGCTCCCTTGGCTCAAGTCAGTAGGATTAACTTTTCTAGAACCTAAAATATAGGATGAATAAATAAAAGAGGTTAAAGATAATTATTATACAGTGACTTCTGGCCAAGATGGAGTAGCAAAAACTGGGTTTACCTCTTGCCAAAAAATAACAAAAATTCCAGACACAGAATATGAAACAATGGGTCTCAAGACATTGAACATCAGACAACAAAATGGAATAGTCATTACTACGAGATAAAAAAAATTTTTTTTTCACCAGACAAAATTATGACTGCCACAGCATCCTGCCTAGAGAAAGTATGGAGGTCATGGGACAGGGAGAGGAAAAATAGTCAAAGCCTGGTAGTCTCCCTAAGTTGTATTCAAGGATGCCAAGGTAGCTAAAAATTTCAGAACAGAAAACCAAAAGGATGAGAGCTGCAAGAGAGAGAATTCTGGAGATCTACAGAAGTTCTCCTTCTAATATTCATTTGAGTACCAGCTTGTTTTGTGAAGAAAGTATTCAGGTAAAGAACCACTCAGAAAGATTAGAAGGAACAAAATGGGGAGCTTACACAAAACTAGGAATAGTGACTGTTTCCATCAACCAGACAGGAAAACCTCATAATTTACAGAGCACTAAGTAAAATAAGAATCTTGCCTCAGGAGTAAAGAAAAATTAAACTTACAATAAACGCTTCTCTGGTCCTGTCTAACAAAGCTTAAATGCAGAAGCAACACCTGAAAGGATCACACTATTTCCAAATAATTCAATGGCATCACAGAACAAAGTTCAAGATAATGTAAGTATATACATATATGTATAAATATATACATATATATGTATATATTTAATTCTTGCCAGAGGGCACATGCACTCACCAGAGAGGGACAGAGAGAAACAGAGGGACATGGTCATGCTAAATCCTTTCTCCTCCATTTCTTCAATCTGTCTGGATTTTGGGCATACATACGCATGCACCCAACATGTTTTCCAAGCCACCAAGGCTGTAATTAGAATGATGGTCAGTTGGCCATGTGGGATCCAGCCCCCTTAACCACCAAGAATATAGAAGTACAAAGTATCCCACACTAGGGGCAATGATGGTGCAGTGGTAAAGTGCCCATGATCTGGGGCTGGCTGAAGGCTAGAAATGGATTGCAGCATCTCTGAAACCCTGTTGGGTGTACTGTCTCTCTCTCCTCTCACTCTTTGTCTCTTTTACTCACAGCAAATAAGTAAATGAATAAAATATCCATTATCCACCAAGGTAATATTCACAGGGCCTTGCATACAATTAAAAATTAACAGGCTTGGGGACCAGCAGGTAGAGTGGTGGTTAAGGTGCTGGATACTCCCACATGGCTGACCACGGGTCAAGTCCTGGACCTAGCAGCTTACTTTCTCATTTTCCTCTCTCTCTCTCTCTCTGGTCAAATTAAAATAAATGAATGAATAAATAAAATTAAATAAAAAATAATTCTTAAAAAAAGTATCAGGCTTCTTAAAAAGCAGGAAAAAACACCCACAATGAAAAGAAAACTCAGTCAATACTGATCCAGAACTGATATGCAGATAGAACTGGTAGACAAAGTCATTAAAATACTATTATTTTTTTCAATATGTGACAATTTTTATTGTGTGGTTATTTTTGTGAGGATGGGGGAATTTGACCTCAAAAACAATGTTCCATTTAAGGATGTTTTATGGAGAAATTACCATCAGGACTGATATTCAAATTATCTTTAGTGTTGCAAGACTCACATGGTAAGCATAAAACTCCTACACTGTTCAGTAGTGTGCATACACTCTGGAAAACAAAAAGGCATTAATACAGCTGTTTCTTTTAAGAAGATATTCAGACAACAGGAATGAACATTAAGATACTAGGATAAGATGATAACACAACTAATACAATTTTACTGGTATTCATTTGGGGAGGGGGGAATTAAACTCATTACCAAAAAAAAGGTGTTTTTAATACATAGTGTTATGGGGCTGGCAGGTGGTATGGTAGTTAAGGTACTAGACTTCCACATTGCCAGCCACAATTTGAGTCCTGAACCTGGAGGCTTGCTTTCCTATTTTTCCTTTCTCTCTCTCTCTGTCTCTCTCTGGTCAATTTAAACAAATAATAATGATAATAAATGAAATAAAATAATTCTTTACCAAAAAAAATGTAGTGTTATATCCCTGCTGCTGTGTCACAAAAATAGGCTTGCCAAGGCAAGTGGAGTATATGTATGTTTAAACCTCACAATACTGCAATCAAGTACAACGATAAATAATACTGAAAAAGTTTATCATTTGATCAGTTGAGAATACTTTCAAGACATTTAAGTAGCTTACCCATTGGAGATTTCTAAGCTATTCACATTGACAGTTACATTTATTGTAGAACCTATTTCACAAGAGGCACAAACCAGTTGTTTTGGTTAAAATATGATGGAAAAGCATTTCTTAGGTTATACATAAAAGTAACGATATTGGGCCAACCCTGTGGTAAAGCGGTAATTCAACACACCGTGATACTGTTCTCTCATTGGAATGTCCTGCGTTGTGTCCTAAGGGTCTTCCTATAAACGCCAGGTTCGTGCTTATGCCCATGTTCTGGGCTGGCTGAGACATGGGTAGACTGAGGCATGACAGCCCTTTTGGGGAGTGTACTCCTTTCTCTCTCTTATGGAAGAAATAAATAAACTAAAAGTAATAATAATAATAATAACAGTATTAAGCGGTCTAATGGCAATCACTGGCTGCTTAAATGAATGATATCTTCTTAATTCATTGTGTTAAAAGAGCCAAGTAGAATGGGGGAAAAAAAGAACAAAATTTAATACTATTCCAATGGACTTAACTAGAGAAATGGAAGTTCCACAAGGTCCAGATGGCATTTGAATTTCATTTTACAATGATTTTTCTTCAAGTGAAGCTACTACATTGTCCCCATAGAGCAGTTATTATTTTATTATAGGAAGCTTGAGGAAAAGTTAAAGATATAGATATGTAAATAGGATAAAAAAAGACCCAAGAAATTTTTTTGGAGATGAAAACTACAATGTCTGAGATGAAAATTACACTGAGTAATACTAATGGCACATTGGAAACTTGAGGAAAAACATACAACAATAGAAACTATCTGAAATGGGGCCAGCAGATGGTATAATGGTTACATCACTGGCCTCCCACATGGCCAGTCGTGGTTCAGAGTCCCAGACCCAGAGGCTTTAAACTCATGCCAGGCACATGTGCATGCATGCCCAAATCTCGAGAGGAGAATGGAGAAGGGATTGTGGCATGATTTTTCACTTTCTTTCTCCCTGTCTCTCTGGCAAGCGCATGCGTACCATGGCCAAAATCTCTTAAAAACAAATAAATAATAGAATAAAATAAAAAAAGAAAAGAAACTATCTGAAATGAAACAGACTAAAAGTCAATAAATAATAAAGTATCAGTAAGTTATGGAACAATTTCAATCGGCCTTAATAAACACGTAATTAGACAATCTAACAAAGAGGGATGTGGGGAAAAGAAAATATATATGAAGAAGTAATGGCTGAAGTTCTTCCAAATTTGATGAAATCTATAACCTAAGAACCTCACTGAACTAACTCCAAGCCAAGAAACATTTAAAAAGCAACATCAAGACATATGACAATTAAATTAGTTAAAACCCCTGGTGAAGAGGACATCTTTAAAACAGACAGAGCATCGATGGCCTAGTGGTAAGGGAGCCAGATCCCATATGGTCAGCTGTGTTTGGTTCAAATCCCAGTCCATGTTTGAAAAACATGCTGGATATGTGTGCTTGCATGCATGCTCAAAATCCCAATAGGAAGTAAAAGAGAAAGCATTGTGACATGACTGCTCCACTGGGGATGGAGTGCTTTCTCTCTCTCTTTCTCCCTGGCAAATGCCCATGTCCTCTGGTCAAAAATAAATAAATAAGGCGGGGGGGGGAAGGGAACCAGCAGTTAGCGTAATGGCTATGTCGCTGGACTCCCACGTAGTTGACCGCGGTTGGCGTCCCGGACCCAGTGGCTTAAAATTCACGCTGGGCACGTGTGCATGCGTGCCCAAGATCCCGAGAGGAGAATGGAGGAGAAGGGATTGCGGTGTGACCATCCCCCCTGGGGGGTGATTTCTCGCTTTCTGTCTCTCTGTCTCTGTCTGTCTGGCGAGCGCACGCTCCCTACAGCGAAAACCTCTCCAAATAAATAAATAAATAAATAAGGGGCGTGGTGGTGCCCTCCCTATGGCAAAAATAAATAAATAAGTAAATAATATACAAGAGGGACCAGCAGTTGGCGTAATGGCTATGTCGCTGGACTCCCATGTAGTCG